TATCTATCTATCTATCTATCTATCTATCTATCTATCTATCTATCTATCTATCTATCTATCATGAAGACCGGCAGGGGGTGTTAAAAGGCAGAGTTTGAACTGTGCGCGTGTCAGTCATCGCGTGTGTTTGTGTGTGTGCGCACGCGTGTGTTTGTGTGTACTGTAAAGTGATCCGTGGCAGGGCAGAGGAGATGTAGCAGCGCGGAGCTGGTTCGGGACTCCGTGGCCAGCAGCCGTCTCGTCTGTCACTTGAAGCAGCAGAAAGTCATCATCTGTCCGACATTAAAACGCGCCATGAGAAAGCTTTAACGTCCCGGTTCTCTCGCAGTTTACACCGGACTGTGCCACGCAATGCGACCGAGAGCAGCTGCTGCTGGAAGGATACATTTCGGTGTGGGGACTGGTTTGTTGGAGTAGCTCGTGCTAACGCAGGGCTAACGCCTGCGCGAAGATGCTGCGGTGGATACGACAGCAGCTGGTGAGACTGTTTTCTCGACCCCTTTAACGTTAGTTAAAACTAGTTTGCGTAACCTAATGCCGGCTTCAGTTCGTGAAAAGCCGTACAAACTTTATTTGACTTGTTTCCAGAAGGCTAGCCGGGCCAATTAGCTGTTGTCGATATGTTAAAATATTGTCGTTTGTCTCGCCTTGATGACAAGTCAGGTAGATGTTAGGTTAGCTAAACAGTCACCTTGCTTCCTGGCCAGCTAACAGTTGTCATTTAGGCTAACTAGTTGACATTTATCCAACAAAAGTGTTGAGTCGCAGTTACAGTTTKGGGTTTATTTAAAGTTTCTTAAAATTTTAATCTAGTCTTGCCAGGTTTTGATTGAATGTATCAGAGCGTCCAGGAAACCGAGCAACAGCTAGACGGCTAACATCAGAGAGAGGGAAGTTGTTTGATCAAGTTTTTAACAAACTACWGTAACACAAAAGTTCTTCATTCTGACTTGTTAAAAGGCTGGTCAGCTTTAACATTTCGACAGATGCGAAAATTGAGCATAATGAAATAATTTATTTGGTTTATTKTAAACTTTTTAAGATTTTATTTATAGCTTTAATTCATCACCTGGCGTGAGAATTATGTGTTTGCATTAAAACAAAGCTCATTTATGTTGCAGAATATGTAAAAATGTGTGTGCATATTAGGGGTGCAACAATACATGTACCTGTATCGAACCGTATTGAACAGTGCTTTAGGTTCAATACACACTTGTATCGAACAAAACAGATCTTTAAAATTTTCTTTATCAACTTGTCTTCTGAAGATGCTCTGTGTTGAAGGATCAGTGGATCTGTGATTGACTACTGCACCTAGACTGTATTTTTGAGCGCAGATCCACTGAGAAACTTGCTCTTTCAGCAACATTTAATTTAAAAACTGTACTTTTGAGATTAAACAAATGTTCATAATTAATATAAATAAATTACAAGTTAAAAGGGGCATGGACATTTCTCTTTTGTTGTATCGAAAAAATATCGAACCGTGAGACTAAAATATCGAACTGAACCGTGAATTTCATTTCCCGATACCGTATCGATATTCTAAAGCCCTGTATCGATTTTTTTTTATTAAGGTTTAAAATGTCAACTTTCCTGCCAGCCGTTCATTTTTTTGTTGTAGTTCAGCCTCTGACCACTAGTTGGCAGCGGTGAGCCAGCCATTTGGCTACTCTACCTCTTGAGGTAGAGGCCATTGGCTGTGTCCAAAACGACAGGCCGGGTCCTCCGGAGGACCCAGACTCCCCGGTCTCGGCGGGCCGGGTCCTTGGTAGACCGGGAAGACCGGCTGTGAATTTGGACGGTCTAGCCTCCCCTCCTTACCCTGGCGTACGTCTTGTCACCTGGCAAC